AGGATCGGGCTTGTACAGTGCAATCAGTGGCGGATCTAGCCATGTTTTGGGTAGGCAGCTGCCTACCCGAAAATGGTCAGGAAATAAAAATAGTTAGATATGAAGCAACAAGATGAAGGAAACGAGAAAGAGAAAGAAGAAAAAAAATATAGAAAAGAGAGAGAAGAAGGAATCGACAAGCCTAGGGAAAAGTGAAAAAAATAATAATAAAAAAAGACAAAGAAGGGGAGTGGGGGATAGAAGGATAAAAGTAGTAAAGAATCACGTGATTATATATAAGTGGTATAGGACTATGATTATTTTGGATTGGATAAAATTGTTTGGACATCCAATTTCTTGAACACTAGAGTGTAGTTTTTTTAGCAATAGATTGTAATTGTTTTTACATGTATTAATCTTTTTTTTAATCAAAATGCATTTGATTCATATTTTTTTCTTAGGATGATTATAACATGAAGGATGTAATATTAATTTTGCTATTTATATTATTTTAATTATTGTATTGGTGCCTTGCATTTTTGGAAATTTTCTGTATCAGCATATCCGTACACGTATTCATGCAATGTGTAATTTCTGCCTACTCAACTTCCAAATCCTGGATCCGCCACTGATGGTATTAACAATGTATTTCTATGGAATGATATTAACAATGTACTTCTATGACATGGTATTAACACTGTATTTTTATGACATGATACTAACAATGTATTTCGGGCTTGCTGGGCTTGTTTTGGGTTTTTTTTGAGTTTTTTTGTGTTGGGCTTGTTTTAAGTTAATCAATGGCAGAGATGTAATTTATAGTAACTTCAACACTTATTCCATATGTAATAAATGGTTTTTGGGTATGTTTCTAAATTGAATTTCATGTAAGGTTTTTTTTATAATTTCAGCTCCTATTTTGGGTGTATTACTAAAGCTCCCATAATAAAAAACACTAGGGTCTCAAAGTCACTCGTTTGGTGACATTTGGAATCTCGGTGACCCCCAATCCTATTCTTCTTCCAACTAAAATTGAAAATTTACCTTGTTTTCCTTGAATTTTGTTTCCATATATAATACTTCCTTCCTTTACGAAGGAGAAAAACAGGCAAAGCGGAGTCAGAATACAAGCCTTTATAGCAATTAAGGCAAGAGCGCTGTAATAATGTTTTTTTTCCTTCCTTTTTTAGCTCTGTCAATGAAATATATTTTCAAAAAAAATCAATGGGAATTAATTTGACACTGAAGAAGAGGAAGGCTATATAATTTGTGAACTATATATTGATTGGAGGAGCTACCAACCAAAACATAAATGATTCCATTCTTAATAATTAATTTATTGTTACATCAGCAAACTAAAAAGGAAAAAGAAAAACCAAAAAAACATAGAAGCCACCAACTACTAGGTTAGGGCTAGGGCTAGGGCTAGGGCTAAGGCTAGGGATATAGAAGCTATTTCAATGCGAAAGGCATGGGACAGAAGGCACAGAGAAGGATGAGGTGCCATGGGCATTGTCGCAGTAAGCATAAGACCTCTTGTTTGGAAGATCCGATTTTATGGTCACGTTGTCCATCACAATGTTTGTGCATCCGCCCCCTGCGCAGGCCAAAGTTATGGCTTTCTCATCAGCGCAAGTTCCGTTTATGTTTCGGTACGTCACGTCGCTAACTTGTACTGACTGCACAATCCAAATTACACAATTATACTCACTCTAATTAGTAAGAAATCATATCATATTGCTCTATTTAGAGAATCAATTTATGTTATTTTATTTCACCTTGCTTATGTCCATTGCTGAAGTAGGTTTAGCGAAATAGTGCTGGTCTATTATGATAGGATTTTTGGTGTCTTCAAATGTGATCCCCTCGAAAGTGATCTTCCTAGCATATCCCGAACCGCCCTTCATTCAATTCGTACAAAAATCACATTAGTTACAAAATCAATTAAGTTACTCTCGCATTCAATTCAATTTGATACGCATGTCTCACTTACTTCCCATGTCTTGATTCTCACTCCATTTGTTGTCCCCTTGAAGGTGCAATTGCTCACTTGCACCTCTTCCACTTGACTGTATTCTCCATGTTGACCTAGACTGCCAATACTACATACATATACACACACACACATAGATATCAGTTAATTAATTAATTAATTAATTAATAACTAAGCCATTTTCATGTAATTAAAATGAATGAATGATTACCTAATACCATGGCCTGGTCCGCATTTAATGTCCCTAATCTTGATATAAGATGAACCGCTATTGATGGCAATACAATCATCACCTATATATATATATATAGCAAAACAAATAGTGAACGAATTTGATTAAATAATAATTTACACCAATACCATCATAAATTAAAATTAATTAAGAAAAGGTTTACCATATATAATTACCAGTTGCTATATGAGAAGATTGAATTGTGACTCGGGTTGATTCGGAAATATCAATTCCATCTGTGTTTGGACTGTCTTTAGGAGCCCAAATGAAGAGACCGAAAACTCGGGGGCCATTGCAGCTACAAATGCTTATATGATTTTTAGGGCTATTGAAAAATGCCAGACGACTCAATTGGAAGCCATGACATTTGTTGAAATGAAGAGACTGCACCACCATGCATTAATTAATAAATACTCATCCTAAGTAACAGTTTCAACTTCAATTTTAGTTGACAAAAAAATAATTTACGGTTCGGATCATTGACATACAGTTGGTCTCTGGCAGCCCTTGCTACCGCAAGCTTTCCACCAAACAGCGCCGTTTCCATCAATTCGACCTCCTCCATTGACCGATAGACCTTGTACATTCGAAAACTGAATCCACATCTCCTTGTTTGTCCATGCACCAATGTTATTCGGTGCAACAATACTCCCTTGTATCTGTAAAACGTACAGAGTTTATAAATAAAAGTAATAGCAATAATATAGGCATCAATTATTATTTTAGTTTTTAAAGTTAATGTGAATTATCGACATTTGTTTACCTGGAAATTTACTTTACTAGCCCTGCAAGGCCCTTCAAACGCCACAGCATTTAACAAGAATCTTTTGCCCTGTGGTACCACCAGGGTAAGGGTGCCTTGAGTTGATGATGCACACATAGCTCCCCATGCCTTGAGGAAGGCCTTTGTATCATCTACTAGGCCATTCCCAACAGCACCATAATCTACCACATTGAAAGTATTTGTTTTTGCTTCCCATGCTTCCAAGAAGGCCTGCTTTCAATTGCACAATCAAGAAGAAAATTCATTAGAAAATAGAAAATTTAATGAGAGAGAGAGAGAGAGAGAGAGAGAGAGAGAGAGAGAGAGAGAGAAAATGAAGAACTATGTACTTGTGGATCATATTTTTCAGTTTGGGCATTCGCACGATTGAATGAATCTCTTGTTGTTGCTCCAGTCTCCCATCCTTTTGAGAAGGCCTCCTTTTAGTTTCACAATTAATACAAAACATAAAATTAAAAAGAAAACGCAAATTAGATCAATGGGAAAAAAAAAAAAAAGCAAACAAAAATAATAAATAAATAAAAGAGGATGAAGAAATAGTGTAAACATACTTGAGAAAGACCCTCATCATCAGTTTGGGTGTTGTGATGAACAGCACCATAATCAAACAAATCGAAATCATCTGGCAGGACTATTCTAGCACTACATGAACGATTAGGTGAAGCAATTAGCCAAATAATTAGGACCAAGACGGTGGCGGTAAGCGGGACCTTCATTTCTAATGGGTTTAGGGTTTAGATCGAGAGACAAAAAAAAGACAAGGCTTTGGAGCTCTAGAAAGAACTCAGATCGCAGTGAAATGTTGGTGGGAGGAGAGCTATATATATAATGTGTATAGTGCATGCATACATGTGATCAAAACAACGTAAAATAGAAAGAAATAAAAAATATCAATCAATCAATCAATCAATTGAGAATTCAAATTCTTTCCTCTCTTTTTTGTTCTTCTTTCTTTCTTTCTTTTGTCAACCTTAACCGAAATACTTCTTCTGATTAATCAAATTTTCCATGTTGAAGGTAGAATCGCATCTCTACTTTTATTACATAAGCGTTGATTTATAAAAGGTGAAACTAGATGAGCTCCAAATATTATGACAATGATTTATTTTTAATTAATTGCATGTGTATTCACTACCAAAGAAAAAAGAGAGCAGTAGTCACGTTTTTTAAGTAAGGAAACTGGTTTTCGAATCATTAGAGGATTGGTCAATGACTTTAATTGCTTCTTACCATTATTGGCGACATGCTATTTTATTTTGCTTGTCATGATGATCATACAAAGATATCATCCTAGAAAACAGCCGCTTTGAGATAGCTAGAGCGTGTAGGCGTGTGCAGAATCATGTTCCACAGTGATTCAGCCTCTGATCCATATCAAATGCCAGCAGAAGGGTGTCATATGTTCCCATTGTTGCTCCTTGGCCTTTGCTCAACATCCACTTTGCCACCTAACCAGCACCAAGGATTAGCCATCTATAATGCATCCATCCATTTGCCTTGTTATGGGGCCTTACTTAAACTTTTGCTAATCAAACAAGTTAATCTATATACAAAAAATTATATCCCTAAAACCATTAGAACAGGGGTCATTACGAGCAAGTTGCACCTAAAGTAAAGCAGTACCTACCAATTCTACACAATCCCAAGTACAGTCTAAAGAAGCCATAGCTGAATTACAAGCACCCATTGAGTCCTCTTCCTTAGGATTCTCAAGGCCTTAACCGCTGCAATCAATGGAAACTCATCAGTCTCCCAAGCTGTCCATTTATCTAATGCTCCATAAACTGTCTCTTTCTCATTAGGAAGTCCGGAGACCTGTCATTTCAATGTTAATGAAGAAAAAACAGAGCAGCAACAGGATCTCAAACATTTTATCTAAAATCTGCAACTTCGAAAAAAACATGGTATACATCCCATACAAACAATAAACGTGTTTTATACGGTTATAAAGCTTGAAAGAGAAAAGGCAAGATTATGAAACTTAAGAAGAAGACTAACAATTCTGACAAGATTGAGTGCCTTTTGCCCAGACCCAGCCGAGTCTTTTTTCTGCCATAAGTGGTGCTCTTCACTTCCCACCTTCTTGATTGTTTTCCTACATTTCATGCAAATTTCTCTAGGAGAAAAAGAAAGAAAAAGAGATGAAGACTGTTAAATGAAAACTTCCAAGTTTTAGAAATCAAGCGGGAAAGTAAATGCATGACAATTTTGTTCTTGCTTTCCTTAACAATCAATGACAAAGCTGCTTCAGTTGTCTTCCTCTAATGAGTCAGCCAAGAAGTGAAATTAAATACCCAAGTAGAATAAGGTAGACTTCGAAAGAAATGTGACAAATTATGAATAAGGTTGCTCAGTTGTTCACCTGATCAATTCCTGATAAGGGGAACTGGCAACAAGTACAATTTCCTGAACTCACAAACATTCGTCTTCTCTTCTTTAATTTCCAATATTTTGAGCAGTTAAGTATAGCAAGAATTCTATAGTGAGGGCCTTATACTTAGGTGAGGCCCTATCTCTTAGCCGTTGGATTAAATTAGTTAGCTTGATCTAACGGTTAAGATATATGACCTTACCTAAGGGCCATATATTAGGCTCCCACTATAGAATGACTCCTAAGTAGGACAACCTATGTTGGCGTATATTCTCTCGGCCTCAAATGCTAGGCCGTAAGATTTGCGCAGCCAACACGTGTTACCTATAAGTTAGGAACATAAATTAGAAGACTACCTATAAGTTAGAAACATAGAAGACTGCTTATAAGTCGGATACAAAAATAGACAAATACAATTGTATGTTACCTATAAAAATAAAAATAAAAGGTACCTAAAATACTATTACACATTGTTGAACAATATGAAAAAACACATATATAATATACCTATGCAATAGGCAAGAGGACAATATACATATGATAATATATCTAGAAGAGTATATAATAATAATAATAATAATATATCTACATTATTATTGTAGATCTCGTAATAGTTGTCTTATAAATTATTTTTTACATGATTTATACTTCAACGGTATAATAGGAACAACTAGATAATTTATTAATAATAATAATAATAATAAATTTACATCAGAAAATACTAAAAAAGGAATGTAATCCTATTTAGTAGAAAAGTTAAAGGACTTATATCAACAACAACAAATGCGAGGATCAAACCCAACTTATATTCTCAATTTTGGACTTATTCCAAATTTTCTAATTAAAGTATTAATGTAATACTGATTGTTGTTCCACCAAGCCGTGATGTCCCTGAGCAATAATGATATTTGTGGAGGTTTCTTCCCAACATATCAGAACAATTTTTCTTTTTCTTTTTTCAGTAAAAGATGCAAAATCAATTAATTCTATTATCCTATTGTTTCCTTTTGAGGGAGGAATCAATTTCATTATATTTTTGGGTTAAATTTATCTTTGCAGATTGTAGAATGACCAAGGTATGAAACAAAAAAGGTTAACAAATTTGAACTGATCATTATGTACAAGAGCCTCATGTGTAAGCTTTTGATTTTCGTATAAGATAGATTGAATAACTATTTATTTTCATTATAAAAGATTGTGTACAATGTTCATATCTTATTTGAGCTATTTAGCTACAATGGAGTGTATAGCATAAAATAAAGCTTCACACTCCCTATTGAGTTTGTACCAAAATTGAGAATTGTTAGATTTTGAGTTTGACTCTTCCTAAAAATACTCAGGTTTACGGGTACAATCCAACCATCAAAAGCCAAGGAAAACAATGGGCAAGCCCTAGAGGGAATAAATTCAAATGAAACGGACTAGTCACACATGGCTAAATTTGAGGTGGTATCAAAAGACTAACAACCTCATAAACACATCCTAAAAACAAAAGAGAGCAATCAACCAAGACAAGGCTTAGGAGGGCAACATTGATGTATGAAAATGATAAAACAACTAGCAAGAATGTGCCAAAACAAATGCATCTTAAAGAACCTCCCCCAAAATTTAACGACCACAAAATAAATTAGCCAACAATCCAAAACTCATATAGCACAATAGACTCGTAAGGATTTCAAGAATTATGTTAGGCTAAATCATTAAATGTGGGAACACAACTTATCAAGAGATGACTGGTCATAGGCCAAAGTGGCATCATCCAAACACGACCATACATAAACACAACCCCAGTGTTCAAACTGTTTGTACCAAAATTTGCACTTTTTGGCCAAACTCTCCATTCTAGCCAAAATACATTTGGACTTATTTTTACTCATCAGCCCAACTGGCTATTCGGGCTCCACTTGCCAAAAATTGGAAAGAAGCCCATATCATTCCAAGAGATAAAATAAGCCAAAATAGCTTTCCCAAGTTTCCAGATTACATATTTTGAAACTTGAGGTCTGACCTTCATTAACTCAAAGACCATATCAATAGAAAGGTAAAAGCAAAAGTTATCTCCTATAGCCATTTAAGTCTCAGGAACTACAGACCCGTGTGGTCTCATCAGTTAAGATATTTTGAAGCACAAGTTACAAGAATGGCCAGAAGGTATTCAAAAGGAATTCTTAGAGAAAGCATGCTGAGTATCTCTGCAAAACATCCATGTGCCTTCAAAAGAGGGATATTTTCTTCACAAGTTACAAGGAAAAGATATTCATCACAACTGATATTTTCTAGATATTTTTAGGAACCAAAATTCCTATAAATACAAGGGATGAGAACTGAAAAAAGGGAACCAACAAAACAAATACAAAAGAAACAGTCAATTCACTGATCATTCTAGCCTTCAATAGAAGCAAAACCAACAAAGGTACCAAGGACCTTCAAAGCTATCCTTGAGATTCTGCTCAGAATTCCCAGCCACTCACAACTCAACTTGATTATAGCTCTACTACAAGGAAAAGATATTCATCACAACTGATATTTTCCAGATATTTTTAGGAACCAAAATTCCTATAAATACAAGGGATGAGAACTGAAAAAGGGGAACCAACAAAACAAATACAAAAGAAACAGTCAATTCACTGATCATTCTAGCCTTCAATAGAAGCAAAGCCAACAAAGGTACCAAGGACCTTCAAAGCTATCCTTGAGATTCTGCTCAGAATTCCCAGCCACTCACAACTCAACTTGATTATAGCTCTGCCAATTTCAACATTGGTATCGATTTCCAGCTAATATTTATTAGTTGAAGGTGCAGCCAATTCAGTCCAGCCTGACAGTCCAGGCAGTCCAGTCCAGCCACACAATCCAGTGCAGTCCAGCTTGACTAAAATGGTCTCAGAAATGGCATTTCAGGCAGAATTCGAAGTCCAATATTTTGATGTATTTCCAGACTTAGCAGTTCCTTTCATTTACTGTATTTCAAACAGTTCTTCTTGAACTTGTTTTTATTTTCAAACACTTGTATTTTTGCTTTACTTCCCAGTTTTATTTAGATAAATTATGAAGTCCTTACCAGCAGTCTAAGGCATAGAAAAGAACTTACTTGGGAGATATTCCTCACCCAAATTCACAATTGTTTGTTCAAAGTCAATAGCTTGGGGCGCAAGTTATTTTTACTCTCAAGTCTGTTAGAATTGAAAAATTGCTAACGGGGGCACGCTCGACACACAAAGAAAGTTAATTTATTGACCAACCATGATCTTTGGATTAATGGGGAACTTTACCCTGCCATTTCACAGGTACTAAACACAAAAAGGGGTGAACACAAACAAAGGGTGTAAATAAGACAGGGAGAAGACAAGTGAGCCTTTGTGCTTTGTGTCATAACCAATGGTCTTGGTTTTTAGAGTGTGAAAATTAATTTCACCAAAAGACACACGATCCCTGTTAAGCATATACAACATGACTTGATGGCCAAAGACATAGCTAAGGAATAAGAGAGTTGTGAATGCTAGAAAGTAAAAAGTTGTGTTCAGTAGAATTGCTGAGTCTTAAGCCACAAAAAAATGAGAACCATTCAATTCAGACGACTAGTGTAGATGACTAGTCATGCAAAGCAACCATTCCCATCAAAGACCCCATGAAAAACAATTAGTTTTTTTAAAACAAACGAAATACCGACAAACAAAACATGTCCAAACACCTTAGCATATTAAACATTTCAATGACTAGCTTTGTCCTTATAAATTAATGTACACTCGAAAACATTATTCTTAAAAAACGCAGTAGAAGCCAAAATGTCAAGAAAGGGAACGTCATGTTTGCATGTCAGCTAATAAGCTTGCAGGAATAAGAAGGAGAAGAAGAAGCGATGTGCGCTCTCCACGCGACAAAGCAGCATTTGCACGTGCAGCAAGTAACAAACTCTCACCAGGCCTCGTGTATTTTATTCATGACACGCGCATGCAATCTGCATTTGCAAAGCATTTCTTTATCTTCTTAATTATTTTTGCTCACTCTCTCCTTAATTTTGAAATAGTCCAGAAACTGCAACTTGAAAATGATGTCAATTTTTTATTTATAGAAAAAGGCGATAGATTGCATTCCTAATTTCAATATAAAATAGGGAGGAGTCCGCCAACAACAGTAAGCGCACAAAATGTAGAATTAAAATCTTTGTCATTACTTTGAAATCAAAATTTCAAAAAAAAAAAAATAAATAAAAAAGAAGCCAAAAGTAAAAACTAATTTAATTATTAATTATAATAATAATAATAATAATAATAATTATTATTATTATTTTAAACGTTAAGCCACCTGGATCTCTTTCCCAACAGAAAAGCACATGCCCACACACGCTGCGGAAGTTGAGAAGTCATTTTCTCAACCATTTTATTACTCTTATTAGAATCCAGTATTTTATTTAGTTAAGTGCACTAATCTTCTAGATTTTAATTTACAAATGCTGAGATGAATCATGAAAACGACGGCTGGTTTTAACTTGTATATATAACTGACATGGTCACCTCACTTTCTAACCAAATTAAACCAAAACCAGCCCCATACTTACCATCACATCATGCTAGCTTTATCTCCTCCTTTGTTTTCAACCGTTGGATGGCTTTCAGAGGATCCCATTATGACCAGAAGTACTTCTACAGAGACAGTTCCACTGACCAAATTGCAGAGTCGTTCCTTCATATCCTTCCATCTCAGCTGCCACAATTTGAGCTCGATCTTTCCACAACTATGAGCGGGGACAATTCCAGGGGTTCCACAGTGGCTAAGAAGATTAATCATAACGCTAGTGAGCGTGAGCGCCGAAAGAAGATTAACAGCTTGTATTCCTCAATGCGTTCACTGCTTCCTGCAGATCAAGCGGTACGTACAAAATGATTTCATTCATTAATAACGAACTGCATTAGTTTGGTAATTTCCCAGTTGTTATTAGAATACTACTGCTACATACTCAAACTGTGAAAATTCCATGTGATTGTTACAGAAAACATTAAGCATTCCGAATACAATTTCGCGAGTGCTGAAATACATACCGGAGCTCCAAAAGCAAGTGGAGGGACTAATTCGAAAGAGGGACGAGTGTTTATCAAGAGCTTCTAAGCAAGAAGATGTAATGCAGGAGGACATAAAAAGCTTCTCATCAAAATCTGCTGTTTCAACCTATCGGCTTAGTGATAGAGAAGTTGCAATTCAAATATCTACCTTGAAGACTCACAACAATCTATTATCTGAGATATTCCTAAATTTAGAGGAGGAGGAGGGGCTTCACGTACTAAATGCTTCTTCCTTGGAGTCATCAGGAGAGAGGGTCTTCTATAATTTACATCTTCAGGTATGTTAATTTTCCATATAAATAATTTTTTTACAACGTACGTACGTACTACGAATATCCCTACTTATATATCTTTTCTTCATATTATATACAGGTGGAAAGAAGTTGCAGATTAGAATGTGAGAATTTAAGCGAGAAGCTCATGTCCTTCTATGCCTGAGAAAAGGCAGGAGTTATTCCCGTAGGAATCTTTGGTTCTGATGTGCAGTGTGTAGCAGGTGCTAAAATATGAATATGGGTTTTGAATATGTTAGGTTCTTCTTTTATTCTTCTCCATAAGGAGGTATATATAAGAGTTTACATGAGTGCTTTATCAGGAATTAGATACAGTAAAGGATTAGGAAAATATCTCCTAATTATACAATGATTTGACAACTATATAAAATAGAAAAGTAAATCTCTTAATTAATCAAGGAAATAAATCTATAAAATAGGAAAGTAAATCCCTTAATTAATCAAGGAAATAAATCTCCTTGATTAATTAGGAGACTCACTTCAACACTCCTCCTCAAGTTGGTGCATATACGTCAAATGCCCAATTTGGTAAGTGAGTCATGAAATTCGTAGCACCCAAGTCGATAATCCACGCGAATTTTTGAGAGGACATATGAAAAGTAGAACATCAGGATTGACCGCATGCTTTTGTGAGTCTTAAGATTCGATCAACTGCATTCCTATGAGACACATTGTGCCCATGTGCCATTCTTCTGGATAGCTCGCATTTCTTCATTCATGTCTTCTTCCCATTTTTGGTCTTCTAGTGCTTCAGTTACACTGTTGGGAACAGGTATGTCGGCTAACTGCTTCACAAAGTGTACCCGTGACTCTGATAATCTGTTGATGGATACATAATTGTTGATGGGATATTTTCCATTTGCATTAAGATCTTCTTCGTAGTGAATTGGAGGTTTACCACGATTCTTCCTTTTTTTTAGAATATGATATGCAGGCTCTGTGCCTTCTGAATGACGTCCTCAGCAGGTGATTGGTGT